TGATGCAACTGTATTGGAAGGATGGGGAGGAAGGGAAGTATTGCAGGGTTTGGGGTCCTCTATTCCCATAGTAAAATATCAAGAAATAACATCTAAAACGAACAATCAGGAAATAGCATTGTTAAGCAGGTAACTTATAAAAATGATGCTAGTATCAAGAGAAACATCTAAAAGGATTGGAAGTGACTGTCATAGACAGAACAATCACTCCTCAAAGATGTCCATATCTTAACCCCTGATCCTATGAACCTGTTAGGTTACACAGCAAAAGAGAATTAAGGTTGCAGATGAAATTAAGGCTGCTCATCAACTGATCTTAAAAAGGGAGACTGTCATATATTATCCAGTGGGGCCCAATGTAATCACAAGGGTCCTTAAAAGTGGAAGAGGGAGGAGGGAGAAAGGAATCAGATGAAGACATGAGTCTGGAAGAAGGTCACAATCATAGAAGGACTCAACCACCCCTTCCTGGCTTTGAGACAGAAGAAAGGGACCCTGAGCTAAGAAATGCAGGGGTTCTCTAGATACCAGAGTATAAAACAAAACACTCTTCCTAGAAGGAAACTCAACCCTAATGCCTTGATTTTAGCCCAGCGAGACCTTTGTTCAGATTTCTAACCTACAGACCTGTAATATAAATTTGGGTTGTTTTAAGCCAAACGTCCTCAAACTACAGTCCGCGGGCCACATGCGGGTGTTTTTGCCCATTTATTTGTCTTTTTACTTCAAAATAAGATATGTGCAGTATGCATAGGAATTTGTTCATAGTTTTTTTTAAACTATAGTCTGGCCCTCCAATCGTCTGAGGAACAGTGAGCTGGCCCCCCCTGTTTAAAAAGTTTGAGGACCACTGTTTTAAGCCATCAAGTTGGTGGTAATTTGTTACTGCAGCAATAGAAAATCATATTCAGCGACGACTGATTCTGGGGAGTGGATCACCAGGATGAGGAGGGATGACACATTCTTCTGTAAAGTCTTTATACTTTTCGGGCAGTGTTTTTTGACTTTTAAAACTGTACATATACCTTAGATAAAAAATCAAATTTTAATTTCAAAAGGAGAAATTCTCTTCCCAGATCTCACACGGACAAGGGAGCCAGCAATAACAACTGAAGTAGAAAGGTGAATGCAAGGAGAAAAGCTTAGCTCTTAGATGAGAGGAGAGTCTGAAAGGGGAAGTAGGAAGTCAGGAAAAGCAGAAAAAGGCCTTCTGGTGAGGGAATAAGTCCTGGTGTGGGGAGAACCTGGCCTTTTGGGGCATGGCTGAGTTCAGAACCACCAGGGCATCCAGTGGGTCTGGCAGAGCCAGCAGCAAAGGCCAGAGGGACCGTTCCCAACACCAGCAGGTCTGATGCCTGCCCTTCCCCGGCCTATAGTATTTGCAGAGGGCCAGGACAAGTGAAAGCCCAAGATAAACACATTTTCCTAGACCATCAACTGTATTCAACAGTAAAACAATTCTAAATTTACAGTAAATGTAAATACTTTTATACTAAAACCAGCACAGACATGCTACAGAGAATACAAACTTCATGTGAATTTTTAATAAACTGCACACTTCAAGGTGACTTCTTGCATGTGAAGCCGACTGTAGCCACTAAACTACTCACTTACCACTGAGCACCAAGACTCAATTTTCTCTGTAATTAATCAGAGTCAGAAGAAAATCATGAAGAAAATCATGAAGAAAATCAGTATCAAAGCAACTGGGATTTCATACCAGCAACGTGCTGCCAGCTGCCCACCCTCCCAAGATAGGCACAAGACACCCCTCGGGTCCCACCCAAACTAATCAGAAACTTGACAAGCATCTCATTCTTTTCCAAAGAGGTCTGCATCCTGCTACAGCCAGTTGGGTCAGCTCAGGCTTGGGAGACAGAGAAAAATCATCACGCTAAATTCTTCCTGGATGTACTTTCTTGGCCAGGCGTCCTCAAACTACGGCCCATCTTCAAACTACGGCCCGCTGCCGCCTGTCCTGCTTAGCAGCCAACTCGTCCCAGGCCAGCAGTGTGCATGTGTGGAATGTGCGCCGCACACTCTCCAACAGCCCTCCAATGGTCTGAGGGACAGTGAACTGGCCCCCTGTTTAAAAAGTTTGAGGATCCCTGCTCTTGGCCATAGTCTGCCAGCCTGCTCCACTCTAGGCATTCCCAGAATCATTGAGAAGAGCCCCACTTCCACCATCATCACCCCTAACCCCTTATACCATAGGCCTCTTCCAGAGATGACATCAAAGACTCTTTCCATGGAAGGAAGTCAAGAAATAGAGCACATCTCTTGGGAGAGGGTGTCCCTTGTGGTCCACAATACAAGGGTGGAAACTTTTTCTATTGTTATAGCTGTTTTTGTTGTGAAAACAATAACCACATGAGAGAGATCTGGGAACTTTTTTTTTAATAACAAGCCACTGCTGACCACAGAAGAGGAGGGGGAAAAAAATCAATGGAAGACCACACAGAAGTAAAAAGCAATTTAATTGGGTTTGGTTCATTTGCCTCTTGTTCGTTTTGTGTGTAAAACACATACACATTCAAAAAGACTGAACTCAACTGATTTTAAATTAAAAACAGAGTACATGAAATTTTAATGACAAGAAATATATTCAAATACGCTACAGCTTGGTGCAGTGACAAGTGCCTGTAGTCCCAGCCTCCTGTACTAAGGAGGCTGAGGCTGGAGGATGGCTTAGGCCCAGGAACTAGAGGCCAGCCTGGGAAACATAGGTAGATCCTGTCTCTAAAAATAATGATACTACTACTAATAATAATAATAAAGCTACAAAGCTATATCATTGTCAATAAAGTAAGAATAGAGGAGGACAGCAAGGAAAAAGATACAACAAGAGGAGAGAAAGGAAATGGACAGAGGACTGAGGCATGGAAAAAGACGGCTGGGAGACAATAAGATTCAGGGACAGACACACATGCCTAACCATACACAAAAAGAAGGGGCAACGAAGGACCCATAGAGACACTGAGGGCCTTGTGAGTTAGCCAAAGGAAAGTATACTCTTTGTGTCCAGCTGCTGGCTTGGGCTACAGACTTCAAAGTATTATCTACCTTTTATCCTTGCCTTTGAATGGTTAATGCCATGGTCAACCACTGTTCATAGCTCTCTAACTGCTCTCTGAAACATTCTGAGGCTTAGCTCAGGTCACAGGCCAGAGGGTCCCCCCAGATGAGCTAAAATCCAGTAAATCAGTCATCTCTAAGTATCTCCTCTGAAAAGGGGGTACATGAAACGCTATCTCATAAACTACAAAGCACCAATGAAAGTCAGGGGAGAAAATGCTGCTTATGTTGAAAAGAAATTCCATAGAAAACTTTTTTTAGGTTTGCATTAAAAAAAAAAACAAAAAAAAACTAGGACTTCAGCAGAACTGTGTCCCACCTCAGCATTCACCAGCATCACCACCAGCACACCTGACCTCCCACATGTTCGATTCTGCTGGTCCCAGCAGACCTAAAGGCCTCAGTTGGCCCTGACACTAAGCAGCCTCCACCACACCCTGCAATCTGAGGGTTGACAGGCGAGATCCTGAGGAGACTCCAATACCACCCACTGGCCACCACAGCCTAAGCCAAGCCTCTCCTTCCTTCACTCCAAGGGTGACAGGTGCTCTGCTGTTTCACACCTGACACAGCCTCCCCTGTTTGAGCGCCATCCCTTTCTTCCCTGAGCTTGGCTTCTGTGGCTTATTCTTCCCCACATGATGGGTCCCCAACCTCCCACTTTCTCTCGTGTTCCTCCAACCTCTCCCTTCTTCTGTGCCTATTTCCTCCTCTCTTTCCTCTACCTGATCTTAGAATCATTTCTCTCAGAGAAGGAGGGGGTTTAACAGATATATCTAGAACACAGGACCTAGAATCAACCAGCCTGAGTTCCTGCTCCAGCCTGACATCTTGCTGGCCATGTGACCTTGAACAAACCTCCCAACCCCTCGAATTCCTCAGTGAGGGGACTGACCCTGGCAGTCACAGAGGTCTCTTCCAGCTCTCACATCCTAGATAGCTAAATGTCTACCTGCATAATATAAATAAAGCAGTGAGTTAAACATCCACAGGGAGAGAGAATGAACTAGAGAAACTCTTCTCCCAGCAATCTCTCACCCCAGCCTCATCTCACAGATTCACTCGCTCTGAGGTCTGTACCTCTCACTCTGGGCCATTCTAGCTCACAGACCTCTCACTATGGGCCATTCTAGCTCTGAATTATTTCCGTATGGTAAAACCTCACAAATCACCCTAATCAGGGAAAAGGTGAATGTGAATCCAACAGAAGCCTGAGTCCTGGAATGCTTCCTTCATGCCACTGCTCAATACTATGAAGTTCACATCAATTCAGCATACAGGAACGAATCTGAAAATGCAATCACAAACCATACTTGGGAATCTAAGAACAGTAGTGCTGAAAGGAACGCTAGAAAATCATCTGCTTGAAAAATCCTCCACTTCACCAACAAGGACACAGGCCCAGAGAGCAGAAGCCACTAGCCCAAAGATCAGTGGCCAGGACCAAAGCCAGCTGTCCTGCCTCCAGTCCAGAGCTTCTCTACCAAGGCTTTCTGAGACCATCCATTCCTTCTCCATACAGACACGTCACGTCCTAAATTACCAGTGAGTGTTCCCTACCACAAATCCATCTCCATGTCCAGGGAACGGTCCAGAGCTAAGTTTGGGTGACCAGATGATTATCAATGCTGTACAATAAAAGCTTTCTTTCCTGGGCCCTGCCCTTTCATTCTTTGCAAAGAAAACCCCAGACACTGCTATCTGTGCTAAACTCTATTTTGGAGAGGGGGAATGAGGGGAGAGCTGAACGGTGCTTTGTTCTGCCAGTAACAAGCATTTGCTCATCCTTTCCCGTAACTCCTGCTCCCCAATATTGCAAATCTCTTCAGAAAAGTTTACAGGAACTCTCCAACTACAGGAAATGAAGGCAGGTAAGAGGAAAAGGCCACTAGGATGGGTGTGGTGTGAAAAATGACAATACCCACCTATCTCTTCACTCCACGGTGAGCATTTCAATTCAGTTGCTAATTCCCTGCTGGGACGTCTCCAGAGCTAGTAGTCTCAGGGTCCTCCAGCTGAAAAAACGTGCTCTCTGCAACCCCTGAAGAAGTAACCCTTTCCTAACCTTCTATTCCAACAGAGCCCAGACAGAGGTGCCAAGAGACCAACCCTTCCCTCCTTTCCCCTCAGGCCAAGAGCAGACACCAGAGCCAGCAGGCAAGGGGCTATTTAAGGCAGCTAGGAAGAGGGTGGGGCAGAAAATTGCTGTCAGCATCCTAGCCCTCCTCCCCACCCCCTCCCAGCCCAAACTCACTCTCTCTCTCTCTCTCTCTCTCTCACACTCACACACACACACACACACACACACCCCTCATTCTGTAGATAGCCAGCTACCTCATCTATGTTTCTGGGGGCTATAGATATGGAGTCTCCAAATGTCCATCACATGTTTTCTGTCACTGACGCTGCTGTCCCCCTCTGCCGCCCACCCCCCTTTTACTCCACCCCTCCTTCTCTTTTCACCTCCAAGCTACTGCTCTAGCCAAAAACACAGAATTGAATTAAATCTAAGCAGAGGAGCTCAAAAACAAGAAGTGGGGACAGACAAGCCATCCCTAGCCTTCACTTGAGAGGAAAATGGGCCCAAAGGGGGTGGGGTGGGGGAGATGGAGTCAGAGGCCTGATATGCCAGAAAGGTTCCATGATGTCTCTACACGAAGCTCCCTCCTATTGACGGAGAAATCAATTCCAGCAATTTCAGCAGGTCAGCCCTGTGACAACAGGAGCATCCCAGCGCTCAGTGTTTAAAACAAAAATCCAAAGGCTCAGCCAGAACATGCTGGGAAAACCCGGGGACTGGATGAAACGAGCCACGCTCAGTGGGATCCCTTCTGCTTTTATGTAGCAATGTAATAGCGTAATAAATTCTGTCTGCCTGAAGAAAGCATGCACTGGTGAATTTCAAAGCCATCTTACAGCAGCGGACGCACAGGGATGCAGGATTCGACAGCACATCCCCCCACGAAAGGAACATAATGACTTTAAGCCTCTTTCCCCCTCTATCATGAATGGCGCTACCGCTTATCGAGGGCCACGTCGGGAAGCAGCGAGGTGGGAGCCGGAGAAGCCCGGGGAATTCGGAGAAAGGAGTTGCTTTCTGTCCCTGCCGGTGATGAGCCTCCTAGCAAGACGCCGCCAGCACTCGAGGACACGCAGGGCGCGGGCGGGATGGGCAGGCAGGTGTCCCCGCACACGTACCGCTCCCGCAGGCGGGTCCGGGCGGGCGCGTCGTCCTTGCGCCCCTCCCGCCGCCCTGTCCTCGGGATGCTGATGAATGGACACACCTGAGACGCCTCCATCCTGCCGCTCGCTCCCCCTTCCTGCTCTGGCTGCTGCAGAGGAGCCCCTCCTCGGCAGTTTCACTTTGCAGCACAGCCCCACCGGGCTCCGAGGTCGCCCCCACCCGCCCACGTCGCCCCCAGCCCGAGGCGGGCGGCCCTTCCCTCCCGGCAGAGGCCATGATCGCGCTACCCCACCCACACAGAAATAAATAAATAAAGCCTAGGACTCCCCCCGTCCTCCGCACCCTGGGGACTTTCCTCGAAAGACCGGGGATACACCGAGCAGGCAGGACGGCCGGTTCGGCCGCGGCGACCGCGGCTGCCCCCGCGGCCCCGGGAGGATGCTCTGGGGGGCAACCCCAAGTCCCTCCAACAGCTGGCCCTTTAAACGCGCCGCCTCCGAGCGCGGAACAAAGGCGCCGCCCGCGGGGGCCGGGCCGGCGCACACCCCCAGCGCCGCCGCCGCCGAGCGGGCGAGCGCGGCCGGGCGGGCGGGCGGCGGGCGCGGGCTTACCTCGCGGGTCGCCGGCGGCTGCGCGCGTCCGGCCCCACTCGCACTACACGCTTCAGTCGGCCCCGCTCTGTTTTTCTGGGACTCGGGGCTGACTTCACCGACGCTCCGCCGGCGGCCAATGGGCTGCGGCGCCCGCCCCCTCATTAGCATGCCTCTGGAACCGTCCACTCTGGCGGCGTCCGGGCGGCGGGCGGGCCCGGGGGGGCGGGGCCGGGCCGCGCCGTGACAGGAAGGGGCGTGCGCGCCAATGGGAGGCGAGCAGGCGCCCGGCCTCCGCTCCGGCGTTGTAGCCGCGCGCGCGGGCCCGCCGGGCTCCGCTGCGAAGGCGCGCGCGGCGCGTAACCCCTTCCGTCCCGGCCCGGCCGCGGGTGGAGGCGGGCCAGGTGCGCCCTCTGGTCCTTCAGGGGGGTCGCCCGCGGGGAGCTCCTTGGGAACCTCAGGCACAAAATAACAGCTATAAGTTATTTAGCCCCTGTGCCCCGGTTTAGTCATCTGTAAAATGGTGTAATAGTACCGATTTCGCAAGATGTAGTGAAGATTAATATATTAATAATTAACGTATGCGAACCGTTTAGCTCAATGCCTGGCCAGCGCGCTACATAAATGTTCGCTGCTGTCTTTAGTATGCTCTGTGCCAGCCAGAATGCTTAACAATTCCTAGATATTTTCTCATTTGATTCTCTTAGCCTTATAAGACAGAGGCACTATTACTGATCCCTATTTTTCAAGTGGGAAAACTGAAAATAATTACTACTGTTTTTAAATGAGGAAACTAAGGTGTAATTTAAGTGGCTTGTCCATCACACAGCAAGTGGTGCGACCAGGATTTGAACCCAGGCTCTGAGATTTTGCTCATGCAACACACACGTATATTCAAGGGCTCCCAGGCAGGCATGTGCTGGGCCCTGGGGTTACTGCCGAAAACAAGACAGGCAAGGGCCCCGCCCTCAGGAAGCTTCCATTTTAGTGAGGGAGACAGACAAATAGACAAGTGAATAAACAAACCAAATCATGTGCAGTGCGAAAAGTAGAGCAGATACAATAAAACCGGGTCATCGCCAGTGGAGGGAAGGCATTGTGATTGGGTTCGGCGCTAACCACTGTGCTGCACCATCCTCCTGCCTTCCAGTGCCACTCAGTGATATAGAAGAGGAAACAGAGGGGAATCACAGTGGGGAAACTGCTTGCCCAAGGTCACAGGGCCAGCAAGGCTCCCTCCACACCCACTCCCCACATTCCTAGGACATCCTTGAAGGTAGGAGAGTCACCCCTTGGGCTGAGCACAACTGATTTTTGTCACCTGCGTTTGGCAGGACTCCTCAGCCAGAGCACATTCCCAGAGAACAGGCTGTGTGTGGTAGGGCAAGCACAGGCCTTGATGACTACGCCATGGGGAACTCGTCTGCAAAGGTTTCGGATGTGAGGGAACAGCAACAAGTCTTCAGTGAGCACCTGCTGTCCTCTGCTGTGTAAAAGAAAAAAAAAAATAGAGACTCCTAGCTGTCTGGGAGCTTACTTTATCCTGAAGGAGACGAGAAACTGCTAGAGAACTACTGAACTTAGGGAGCTCCCAGCCCACACCTTCGCCCACCCACACTTCATCCTACAATTTTGCAAAGAGCACTTCCCAGCCTCTACTATTAATTTAGTCCACAATCTGGGCAAGACAGTTCTGTCTGGGCCATAAAGTAATAAAAGGGCTATTATTTATAATGTCCAGTTTGCTATACACCATACTGCACTTGTGCTGAAAGTTTTACAGGCATTAACTCACACCCACCACACGACAACCCCAGGTGGGAGTACTACGGTTATCCTGAGGTTATCCACAAAGGTGGAAAATAAAGAGTAGAGACAATAAGTAAGTTACCCAGCAAATTCGGGGCAACACTATTTAGAATAGCCACACACACACACAAATTCAAAAACAATCCACACATCCAATTTGAGTGGATTGGTTAAGAAAATTACAGTACAACCATATGGCAGAATACTATACAGCCATAAAAAATGAGGGGATATTTATTGGCACTTACTGACACATGAAGATGCTCATAATATGTTATTGAATGGAAAGAGAGGTTGAAAACTAGTTTTTTTTTTTTGTTGTTTTTTTTTGAGACAGAGTCTCGCTTTGTTGCCCAGGCTAGAGTGAGTGCCGTGGCGTCAGCCTAGCTCACAGCAACCTCAAACTCCTGGGCTCCAGTGATCCTTCTGCCTCAGCCTCCCAGGTAGCTGGGACTACAGGCATGCGCCACCATGCCCGGCTAATTTTTTTTATATATATATCAGTTGGCCAATTAATTTCTTTCTATTTATAGTAGAGACAGGGTCTCGCTCTTGCTCAGGCTGGTTTTGAACTCCTGACCTTAAGCAATCCACCCGCCTCGGCCTCCCAAGAGCTAGGATTACAGGCGTGAGCCACAGCGCCCGGCCTGAAAACTAGTTTTATACTGCAATCCCATTAGACCTATTCTTGTGGGATTATGAGCAATTATTTTTACTCATCTGTAGTTTTTTAATTTTTTTCTTCATAAACATCTACCAAATGGTTCAATGAAAATGAAACAATTTTGAAATGAACAAACAGACTCTTATTAATGGAGAGTTGATCTATAGTCACAGCCATCCCTATAAGTGGGAAACTGTCTTGAGGAATCTTAAGGGACATCTATGTTTTCAAGTCATCCCTCAAATGTCGAATCCCTCTGCTGGTTCCCGTCTGTGTAACTGTTGCATTTCTCACTGTAAAGCATAACATGGCCGTTAGGGTTTATGAGAGAAATGGGAAAATACTGGAAGGTCAGGAAGGAAGGAAAGAGGGAAAAACAGAGAGAAAGAAAAATCCTACTATCTTTTCATGACTGACCTCAAATGTCTCCAAGAAGTGTTCAAAATCATGATCTTTTGACATTTTATCACTGAAAGCAACCCAAGAAGCCATCAGGTGTAATTGTGTCACTCTGTCCCTATCTCCCGTCACTCACTGCTTCATCTGGGCAGCAGGCCCTGTGCTAGGCGCTGGCAATGCAGTGGTGAGAGTGACACCTGCTCCCCACTTCCCAGAGGTGAGCCCTGAGGAAGCAGAGCCCTGGGGAGGTTGGTGTGGAGCAAGGTGGGCTCCGTGGGCATGCAGCCCATGCTTGGTTTCACACTCTGCTCTCACTGTCTTGAAATTCTTCATTTTTGAACAAGGGGCCCCGAATTTTCACTTTGAACCAGGCCCTACAAATTACGTAGCCTGTCCTTGGGAAGGGAAACACTGAGGCCTTATCAGTGTGTCAGTGAGTAAAGCTCCAGGCTCTCCAGGCTCAGTCCTTAGACAGAGGAATGAGTCTCTTAGACCATACGCTCTCATTCCTGGGTCCTCAGGTAAATGGGAGGCTGGGGGAGGGGGAGGGTGATTCCTTCTTTCCAGCCCTACAGAACTTCATTTCTTCCTTTCTCATGGAACTTGCCATATTTGGCATAAACTAATGTATATTTGTGTGTAGTCTTATCCCTCATTCCCTCTCCCCACCAGATTGTAAATTCCATGAGGTCATGGCTTGTGTCTGCTCATCTCAAACAGTGCTTAGTACTGTGTTTTACATGCTGTTTAAAATGTGCTTAAATTTAATTTAATCTTATTAGTAACTCCTCATTTTCTCTTCATGTGCATCAGATTATTCCCAGCAGTCCTTCCACTGTTGCAGAGAAATAAAAATATCAAGCAGGAGAGTCGTGCACACAAACTAGTATCATAAACATGCTGTAGGAAGCATCCCCCAAGCAGGCCATAAGTGTGGGGAATTAGGAGAGAAGAGAGCAGGATTTTGCAGAGGACAGCCTTGAGTCATCAGCCTGTACTTCACCTCCAGGGTCACACAGAGGGGAAGACAGGAAATAAACTAGAGGATCTAGAGATGGCAGTAGTATAGTGGTTAGGGCTGCAGGTTGCAGAGCCAGAGATGCTGGCTCCAAAGCCTAATGTGGGCTCCCCTCACCTGTAATGTGTGAATAACACAACCCTTCAAGGTTTACTTGTAAGCTATGCATGAAATCGTGCATATAAAGCTCCTACACACTGCTGACACACATAAGCATCAATAAGTGGTTATTGTTATTAACATTACTAGGAGGCAATGTTGAGAAAGATACCCTCTTTTCTTTCTTTTTTTTTTTTTTTTTAGAGAAAGAGTCTTGCTGTGTTACATGAGCTGGAGTGCATTGGCATCATCATAACTCACTGCACTGCAACCTTGAATTCCTAGGCTCAAGTGATTCTCCTGCCTCAGTGTCCCAAGTAGCTGGGACTACAGGCATGTGCCACCACGCCTGGCTAATTTTTCTATTTTCTTTTTCCTTTTTTTTTTTTTTAGCTGGGATTATAGGCGTGAGTCCCCACACCCAGC